TGGAAAAAAGAAAAAGAAATAATTACATTGAAGGTGAAGGAGAACATTACGTTTAAGGAAGCACGGCGAAGAGTCGCTCCATTCTATGGACCTACATACGCTGATGCGGCGCGTCAGGGGGCACCGCCGCACCAGCCCTCGCCACCCCTTCGGCCCGCGCAGAGCGAGCCGTCGGCTGTGGCACCTGCCCCCAAGGCGGCTGTAGCCCAGGCTACATCGCCTACTCTCAAACAGAGACCGGAGACTCCAGAGTCTTCGGGTCTCAAGGCCTCCCCTCACCAGGCGAGGCCCAAAATCCAAACTAACAGCCCGCACGTGCGGGCATCCAGTGCCTCCGAGGAGGCAATGGATACGTCGGCACCCTTGGTGCCGAAAGAGCGGCGTGGCTCCTTGGAGCGCGCCAAGAAAACAAAAAAGCAAATAACAGGGCCTGGTGACGGCCCTGTTAAGTGAACTCAAATTCCCCGTCTAAACAGTCACTCGCTTTTCGTACACACAGCACTATTTTACATTCACCATGAACACTCAAATTATACAATGGAACGTCAGGGGCCTTCTCAGGAACCTTGACGACATCCAAGAACTCTTACACGAACACTCACCAAAAGTGCTGTGTGTACAAGAAACACACCTTAATTCAAAACACACAAATTTTCTTCGTAAATACGTTATTTTTCGAAAGGACCGTGATGATGCCATGACATCATCCGGAGGTGTTGCCATCATAGTAAATCAAGGAATCGCATGCACACACTTACAACTCCAAACATCCCTTGAGGCAGTGGCTGTTCGAGCGGTTCTTTTTGACAAACTGATCACAATCTGCAGTATTTACATTCCTCCTAGCTATCAGCTGCAAAAACGTGATTTATACTCTTTAATTGATGAACTTCCGGAGCCCTATGTTCTCCTTGGAGACTTTAATGCGCATAGCAGGCTATGGGGAGACTCTCGGTATGACGCGCGAGGTCGACTGATCGAACAGTTCCTTCTCTCGTCGAGCGCGTGTCTCCTAAACCGAAAAGAACCAACCTATTATAATCTCGCCAATAACACCTACTCCTCCATAGACCTGAGCATAGTATCTCCATCTCTTGTGCCTCTACTCCAGTGGAAAGTCGTCGGTAATCCGTACGGAAGTGACCACTTCCCCGTAGTTTTGAGCACGACAGTAACTGAGTGTCCATCACGTGTTCCCAAGTGGCTCATAAACAGAGCCGACTGGGAACAGTTTTATACTATTGCTAGTCTAGGTTGGAATGACATCCGTACTTTGAACATTGATGTTGCGGTGAACTACTTCACAGCGTTTTTGATCGATGCTGCAACAAAATGCATCCCACAAACAAATGGACACCCTGGAAAACGACGTGTGCCATGGTGGAACTCTGAATGCCGAAACGCGCGCAAACAGCAAAACAGAGCTTGGAGGCTGCTTCGGAACTCGCCGACAGCCGAAAATCTTGAAACCTTCAAGAAAATAAAGTCTCAAGGCAGGAGAACGCGTCGGCAGGCCAGAAGAGAAAGCTGGCAGAAGTTTTTATCAGGGGTTAATTCATACACACAGGAGGCTAAAGTCTGGGACATGGTCCATAGGATAGCAGGAAAACAAGTACACACACTTCCACTCGTAAACACTCAGGGTGATACCTTGGAAGATCAGGCAAACTTCCTCGGTGCACACTTCGAACAGGTATCCAGCTCGTCCCACTATACTGACACTTTCCAAAAATACAGAACAAGAATAGAAAAGCAGAAACTCGAACACAAATCCACTAGATACGAAGCATATAACCAAGCTTTCAATCTAGCTGAGCTCCAAACATCTCTAAACTCCTGCAGTACTTCTGCCCCAGGTTCTGACCGTGTGATGTATGAAATGTTAAAAAACCTACCAATCGAAACACGAAAAACTTTACTTTGTCTGTACAATGCTATCTGGTTTTCTGGCGCTATCCCTACCTCCTGGAAAGAGGCTATTATTATTCCCATTTTGAAAGAGGGCAAAGACCCTTCTTTACCCTCGAGTTATAGGCCTATAGCACTTACAAGCTGCTTGTGCAAAGTCTTCGAAAAAATGATAAACTGCCGACTTGTACACTTTCTTGAAACAAACAATTTGCTCGACCCATTTCAGTGCGGGTTTCGAGAGAGTAGATCCACGACAGACCACCTTGTTCGTATCGAGGCACAGATCAGAGACGCCTACGTCCATAAACAATATTTTCTCTCCGTGTTCCTCGATATCGAAAAGGCTTATGATACAACATGGCGTTTTGGAATTCTAAGAGACCTATCCAACCTTGGCGTGCGCGGAAGAATGTTTCACATAATCAAAAGTTACCTGTCAAACCGGACATTCCGTGTCCGAGTGGGCACGGTTTATTCTCAAACATTTGTCCAGGAAACAGGCGTTCCACAAGGTGGTGTACTTAGCTGCACACTTTTTCTCATAAAAATGAATTCCTTGCGCTTGACCATCCCTCGCAATATGTTTTATTGTACATATGTGGATGACGTCCAGCTTGGCTTTAGGTCTTGCAATCTGGCAATGTGTGAGCGGCAGGTTCAGTTAGGTTTAAACAAGCTCTCAAAATGGGCAGAGGAAAACGGATTCCGACTGAACCCACAAAAAAGCACGTGTGTCCTGTTCTCCAGAAAGAGAGGCATGCACTCAGAACCCGACATTGAACTGAACGGTCAGTGTCTGTCTGTTAATACGGAGCATAAATTCCTAGGATTAATCTTGGACAACAAGTTGACCTTCGTACCGCACATCAAGTATCTAAAAACAAAATGTTTAAAAGCCATGAATGTTTTAAAAGTGTTGTCACGTACTAGGTGGGGTAGTGACAGGCAATGTCTCATGAACCTATATAGAAGCCTCATTCGCACCCGCTTAGATTATGGGGCCGTTGTTTATCAGTCTGCGACTCAAAGTGCTTTGAAGATGCTGGACCCCGTGCACCATTTGGGCATCCGCCTTTCTACGGGTGCTTTTCGCACCAGCCCCGTAGAAAGCCTTTATGTTGAGTCAAATGAGTGGTCGCTTCATCTGCAGAGAACTTACATGTCCTTTGTTTATTACCTTAAGGTGAAAGCAGACAAGAAGCACCCCTCATACTCTACTATTAATGATTTGTCGAGCTCAATTTTGTTTCAAAACAGGCCTTCGATGAGGCAGCCCTTCTCTATTCGCCTGAAGAGTCTAGCTGAGGAAACTGGAATCTCACTAGAACACAGTTTAATGGCTCCCGTAGCTTATCCGCCACCGTGGCAATGGCAGACTATAGACTGCGATGTGTCTTTCCTAGAAGTTACAAAACATGTACCTGTTGCCCATATTCGAACATACTTTTTGGAACTTCAACACAAATACACATGTCCTGAGTTCTTCACAGATGCCTCCAAGACTAACTCCTCTGTGTCCTACGCTGCTGTAGGCCCATCCTTTTCGGATGCTGGTCCACTACATCCACGCACAAGTATCTTCACAGCGGAAGCGTACGCGATACTTGTGGCAGCTAAACACATCAAACAATTACAAATACAAAAAGCAGTAATTTATACAGACTCCCTAAGTGTGGTAACGGCTCTGCACAGTCTTAAAAAACAAAAAAACCCAGTCCTTGTCTCACTTTACTCTACTTTATGCACACTTTACACACTCAAACAACATGTTGTAGTGTGCTGGGTGCCAGGGCACCGTGAGATTCAAGGCAACGTGAGGGCGGATCAGCTCGCTGCATCCGTGCACAAAAGCACTGCCCCTACACCCATATCAATCCCGGCCCTCGATCTTAAACCATCCCTCAAACGAAACCTCAGAGTATACTGGCAGAGCAAGTGGGATACACACACACAAAACAAACTACACGTTATTAAGCCACACCTTGGTCATTGGCCGCCCGTATCGAAATCGCGTTATACAGAGGTGATACTAACGAGACTCAGGATAGGACACACATACACGACACACACACACCTTTTGTCTGGTGGCGATCCACCATTGTGTGACAGATGTGGGAAACCATTGACAGTCCTTCACATTTTAATTGAGTGCAAACAATTGGACACTGTAAGAGAACAACACTTTCCATTACCCTACCGACAACATATACCTTTACACCCTGCAATGTTCGTCGGTAGGGAACCGCTTTTTAGTCACAAATCATTGTTAGCGTTTTTTAAAGAAATTCATAGTTTCCATATCATATACCCAGGCATCCCGTAGCATGACCTCTCCAGAGAGGTTTTTGCTGCGGTGGTTACTCAAGAAAGCACTTGCCTCACGGCCCTTGGACGCAAGGGTATAAACGAGTGAGGCACTTGTGCTAATGCCAATCATATCCACCATCGTCTTTTATTATCACCAACTTTTGTCATCTATTCACACCACACACAACTTTCACGCCATGGTCATGATTTTATCACTTGTATGTTTTTACCCGCCTTACCGCGAGGAATTTTATGGCCCTTATACAGCCGCTTATCACAATCATTGTCCATTTTTTTTAGCAAGATGAACTGGCGCTCTTTGGCCGTGAAACGGCCCTTGCGCCATAAAACATCAAACATCATCATACAATGCCTCTCTAGATTTTTTTCTGGACCACCATTCATATTGCGAATGTCTCAATATAAATAGTTGTTAACATCAGTGCAACTGTCAATGCCACTAGAGTTCACATTGCTGATATACGGGCTGCACTTCTGCATGCAACTATTTGAAATGGGGTGGACCGTTTCGTTGAGGATTGCAAGTAGTCGCTTCCATTGGCGGACTCAAGTCGTTAGCCATGCACTCATACTGGCGTAAGCTGCGATTGTCATAACTTACAGCAGCGTCTAAGTAAATTATTTTCCCATTCACCACCGCACACTTCAGGAATTTATAGAAAGAATGTTACAAAGCAACAGCCATATTTCGTTTTCATGCTCCGTGGTGTGGAAAAATTTTTTTCATTTCTTAAAACCTGAAATTTTATTCTCTCCTTCAGGGTGAACTGCTACGATGTGTTGACTGCCCAAGTACCTTTTGGTGGCTACAAAATGTCTGGCATTGGCCGTGAGCTTGGAGAATATGGCCTTGAAGCTTATACCCAAGTGAAATCGGTAAGTTCACGGGAAACTTAATTGGCTGGCAACTCTATAGCCAGCTCTAAATCCCAATGATGAGACTGAAGTAAAGGGAACTAGTCTTCCCCCTTCATTCTTTTCTCCCGCTTCCGAAGACATGACCAACTTTCTAGTAATACACCTACAGTTTGCAACTGCTGTAATAATACTTCTATGTAATGGTACTTCAGCTTCTGTGTAATGCTTCAGCTTCTGTGTAATAATACTTCTGTGTAATGGCCACAGGCACTCTCTTTGATGCTTTTAATCTTGCTCATTGTTCTTTGAAAAGCTCACCAAATAGTAGTACAGAATAAGTTAGGTCTTATGTACTTTGAAGACATTTCTCAACCACTTCGTACTTTATAAGACAAAGTAGGAACAATATTTACACCTCACATGGATGAATTTATAACAGTTGCAAATTGAATTGGCTGACTATACATTTCTTTTGTAATGTGTAGGTATGTTTCAAGTTTGCACATGTGCTACACTGGAAAATCACTGCCATCCTAATTGTTGAAGCTCTCAATATACTGCAAATAACAATAGCAATAATAAGAAGCTTATTGAATGCTACTTACCATGTTTTCTTTTTGTACCGTCAGGTGATCATGAAGATCGGACAGAAAAACAGCTAAGCTGAAATATACATCACTTTGTTTTGTTACATATAACCTGTATATTTTTATATTCCTAGTTCAATAAATCATTTGAATTTTCATATTTGTGTGTGCATCACAATAAGTGATCCATCCCTGTGCCTCACATCACTGTCAATGAGCTCAAATTATGACAACAGACTTGCGGTGTAGACGCTGGGCATCCACCACCAAAAAGAGGCGAAATATGTTTTGTTTGCAATTTATTTCCTCAAGCAATAGCTAAGGACACTGCCTAGTTACATAGAAGTGTGACCAGTGTATTAGGAACTGCATACCGTATTTACTCGCATAATCCTCGCACTTTTTTTGGCGAACTGATGCAAAGTTGGGGGGTGCAAGAATTACGCAGGGAAAATTTTCCATGAAAACGTGCAGAGCAAAAAAAAAAAAACGAAGTGGCCGCAAATTGGGATTCTTACACCAGCAACTAACAAGCTTTGAGAAGTACTAATTAAAACTTATCTTAACATTAAAAGCACTGGTTCAACACAAGGCAAGATTTATTTGAGACACCTAAAGTGCAAACAAATAGTCTGTAATTAGAATACCATACGCAAAGCGCTTGCGGGTGTTGCGGGTGTAGTGGTAGCATTTGTCCCGCAACAGAAGCCCTCAAAAGGTAAGCGTAGGACGTCGGTATTGGGCTGATGGCTATTTAACAAAATCGTCCGCAGTTTCCTTCTGAAGAAATAAAGTTTACGATCAATCCCAGTTTTAGGCACACAGCAGGCCCAACGCGTCTTCGTGGCTTTCAGCTACCATCAACAGTAGCAAACACAAAACTCATAGACTCCGAAGGGCCTACCGGTGGCCCTGTTGCCGTTGCTTAGTGCATGATCTGTCACTTTATAAAAAGCAGCCATGTAGCTTCAGTGTTGCCCCATAACGCCACAAGATTACCGACACAACATACAAAGCACGCCGCAATGCGCACTTGCCACTTTGGCTTAGCTTGGATTGGATTAAATCTCCGCGCGGTAATGCATACGCTTGATGCTTAAGAGATGGCACCAGATGACGCGCGCTATCATCTTCAGTAGCTGGAACGAGGAGACGACATTATTGGGGCAGTTTTCGGGGGTGCGATAATTACTCGAGGAAAAAAAAGAACATTTATTTTTGTTGGCTGATGTGGGGTGTGTGAGAATTATGCGAGCGCGAGGATTACGCGAGTAAATACGGTATAATTTCCAGGATAAGCGAGCTTAGATATGAAACTGCTATTGTTCAGTGCAAAAGGACGACAGCAGTACAGCAAGCGTGTTTCAACAGCTTCACAGTCCTTCGTATGTGACAACATTCTTGTCTGTTTCGTGCAACCGCACACAAAGCTGCAGCTCTTTGGGCAGCACCTTGTGCAGCCGCTGCCAGACAAGCACTGCTACATTTTCTGTTGTGCTGCAAAAAAATGTCATGCCAGCAGCATTACATGGCATGCAAGCATTTGCATTTTCAAATGCAGTTGACCTCTGTGAAAGCAGCTCAAGAGACATTTAACTGGTTATTTCCGGAGGCTCTGGCAGCAGTACGACAGCTGCCCAAGACTGCAAATGAGGCATACTGGGTCTATAAACTGAACCCAATGACATAAGTGAAGCCATGTAATCGCTACCGTATAACCATCTTCTAGCAATACGAAGTCTTTCTTTGCACAGCCAGCACGCTCTAATCTATCTCTTTTATTTTCCTGTGCTGCCCCCACCATTTTGGCAGGGGCTGGGACAACCAGTATTGGCCAGAAGCATAGCCCCACTGACAAAAAGACTTTTCTGCCAGGGGGAGGGCGTGTGCAGGGGTGTCGTGAAAAAAGCTGTTTGCATGTTTGCAGCCAGTTGCATGCTCCAGAAGCCATCTTGTACTTTTAAACTGCCTCCTTTTCATGTCTATATATAGTACCTAACTTTTCTGTACAATAAGGGAATGCAGTAGATAAATTGTTAGTTCATACCTGACTGCTCTCTGAATGTATGGATCATCTTTGTCCAAATTCTTGCGATCAAGAGCATTCATCACTTCACTCCGCAATGGCCATACATGTTTCAGACAATGCATGTCTGTCCTTGTTTGCATAGTGGAATTCGCTATACTGCATCATGCACTGCCACTGCAAGTACACAGTGCATACAGAATGATTTGGGCACTGCCCAAAGCTTCGCACAGAAGGACTAGCAATGAATAGTTGTGGTTTAAAAAATGCTGTTTTATGACTGTTCAATTGTGGACATAATTTTGCTGACTCTTTTGAGAGTGAGTTGAGCATTGAAAGTAGTGTTGCTAAGCAATTTTTCTCGCACCAACTTGTCTCGAGTTGTTCAACACATAAACATTTCATAAATTGAAAATAAAACAAGTGTTTGATGTGTGATGGACTACATATTTATTGGGGTTCTCCACAGTTATTTCACCTGATCTGGAAAAGCTTGTACAGCCTTACTCATTAAGCAGTTTGTGGACATGTTAACAAATTGATATTATGGCCAGTACTGGTGGAAACTTGCCAAAGGCTATGGCAACGATTCGGACCTTTCTTGCTGAATACTGCTGTTTGAAGCAGAATTTAGGCATAGCAGTGCAGATAATTTTCCTAGCGACCTCATTGTTGTTTTTTTGCTTGAGGTAAACGTTATTTCTTTACTACGTTAACTGGTCTGTTATCCTTGTTAGTCTCGTCTTAAATTAGTAGCTTGCCCCCTCGCTTATTTCATATCTAGGCAGATTTTTGCCATATTTGCACATGATGAGCAGGTAGTTTTCATTATCAACTTCAATAAAATGAACATTCAGACAAGTTTGTCTTCTGTAACGAGTAAGCCTCTGCACAAAACATACCAAGTCTTTAATGATGAAATGATTGCTAACAAAATGAACACACATATGCAGCACACAAATTGACTAGGATTGCAAAAGAAGGAATTGAAAGTTGATCTGTCAGCCTTATAGTTTACATCTAAGGGTACAAAAGTCAAGGAGGCTGACCTGTATATATTTTTTCAGGTCTGTGATGTTGATTACCATTCCTGTGGCTGTGTCCACCTGTCAAGGCAAAGTGCAAATCAGAAGAAAAAAAAATCGTACCTTGCATGTCCCGACAAGCTAGAAAATATGTACACCACTTACAGGGCCAGTGACTGTGACTTCCACTGAAATTAAATGTATGCTGCAAGTAATAACGCTCATGCATACTGGTGACAAATCCTGCATACCACGGAAAAACAAAATGCTTACATTTGTAGTTGTGACCATGGCCATTTGGGTTGTTGCACTTTCTAAAAATTGCAGCATCTTGAGCATCTGAAAGGGATGGGCTGTGAACAGACACAAATGCTGCGACTTGAGTAGAATAAGGTCAGCTTTTTTCATGCAACGCTATGTGCCGAATGTTATGTTCAGAAAGTACACATGGTATAATTTCCCTCTGTTATAGAGGATAGTCTGTAGAGCAAGTGCTGCATTATCACCTGGCAAGTTTTCAGGTAGAATTGAGCTTATAATGATAGCCTTCCTATCAAATCCTCTGGCTTTAGTGTACATCTTCTGATGCCCTGCCACGGTAGTCTAGTAGCTAAGGTACTCGGCTGCTGACCCGCAAGTCGCGGGATCGAATCCCGGCTGCGGCGGCTGCATTTTTGATGGAGGCAAAAATGCTGTAGGCCGGTGTGCTCAGATTTGGGTGCACATTAAAAAACGCCAAATGGTCAAAATTTCCAGAGCCCTCCACTACGGCATCTCTCATAATCGTATGGTGGTGTTGGAACATTAAGCCCCACATATCAATCAACCAAACAAATATCTTTCACTATTTTAATCCTCTCACAAGACCAACACAAAACCTATGCAAAGGCTAGTTTACAGGCATGGGCGTCGGCAAAGGGGTGCAAGAAGGGCACTTGGCCCCCTCAGGTCACACGAGCACTTGCCCACGCCCAAGCAACACTTGTGCTCTCCTCCCCCATACTCGATGAAAACATTCTGCTGATGACCATCATTACAGAGTGATTTAAGGCACTGAATGTTAACCTGAAGCAGTGAATTCCTATTCTGCAGTGTCCTCGGTTACTGTGACGGCTTCTTAAAAGGTGCACATCAGAAACTTCTATGTTGCTTTGGTGGAGTTAGACAGCATAAGACAATACAAAAAAGAACTGGCGAAGAACACATCAGATATACACAAATGCAAGCATTGCTTTGATGCTATTGTAACTAATCAAGAAAAAGTTTCATACACCTAACATGAATCATTTTACAGCGCAAGCTGTTATGAGAGTACAACTCGGGTCATGTGCAGTTGTCTGCCGCCGCCACTGGTGTCCGTAACCACATCGCGCAATATTAGAAGAAAAAAACTTAGCACCAAAGACACAGTGGGGCTCGAAACCAGGGTCTGCTGGCTGCCAGCCCAGTATTCTACCACTGAGCTATGCTGGTACTTGTGACTCGTTGGCAAACTTGCCTTAGGCAGGCTTGATGGCGAGAAAGCAATTGCGTAAATACGACTTATGAAGCATTTTAAAACAGCGAAATTACAACCAGTCATGTCACAATGCGAATAGCATAACGAGTCCGTCGTCCAAAGCTCCAACTTGTTCGTTTGTTTGTTTGTAGCCTAGAATCCATGGCTCAAACCCACTCTGGGGGATTGGCCAAGAGAACATATAGTCTCATATGGACGATAACCGCACTATTGCTTAGAACAAAAACAAAAATGGTGGAAAAAAGTTGTGGAATGAAGACAGTATACTATATTAAAAAAAGAAAGAAACCAAAGATTCAGATAGAAAAAAAATCAACAAGAAAGTAGACAGTAATAGCTATACCTTGATTTTGGGAGCCGACCAGACAGCTGGTTTTGCCAAACTCGATTAGTTTGGTATGTCACGGATTTATCCAGATTTGAAAATTACTTCTCTCGCTTTTTTTTGAGTATCTGTTAACGTGGGCTTTATGTTAAAAAACGTTTAGAGTCTTGAATAAAATTACACACCACATCGAATGCATATTTGTGGCAATTTCCCAGAACAGGCACGAAAATTTAGAGCATTTTCTGTGGTTAAATTTAAACCTAGCTTCGCAAATGGAATATCTAGAAGTCTTTTCCTAATTACTGCATAGTTCCGACATGAGCCAAAATAATGTTCAATAGTTTCTGATTCTTCGCAAAACAGACAAAGGGGGGAAAGTGTCATACCAGCTCTGTGCAAATAAAAATTTAATGGGGGGACACGGCACCAGAACCTGGAGATAACTTCAAGTTTTTTTGACGGACCCCACTGGGCTTTCCATGGAAATTTGAGGCCATTGTGTGATATCTTCTAAACTATCTGTAAAAATAGCGAATTTCCTGTCTAACCCCCTGATAAGTATTCTAACTCGGGAAGTACTGAAATTAGCCCCGCCTCAGTGGTCTAGTGGCTAAGGTACTCGGCTGCTGACCCGCAGGTCGCGGGTTCAAATCCTGGCTGCGGCGGCTGCATTTCCGATGAAGGCGGAAATGTTGTAGGCCCGTGTGCTCAGATTTGGGTGCACGTTAAAGAACCCCAGGTGGTCGAAATTTCCGGAGCCCTCCACTACGGCGTCTCTCATAATCATATGGTGGTTTGGGGACGTTAAACCCCACAAATCAATCAATCAGTACTGAAATTACTGGTCCATGAAGTGATGCTCTTGCCAAAGCATCTGCCAATTCATTTAATTGTAATCCGCAGTGACGTGGCGGTGCTAATGTGTGGAACGCTGCTAGGGCACGAGATTGTTCTGAGGTTGTCAGAGCTGCACACTCCAAAAGCGAGTCTGTTAGGATAATTGCACTTGTCTCGGTCGTAGGAATTTTTCGAAGAGCTAAAATAATAGCTACTAGCTCGGCTTATAGGAGTGAAATCTGGAAGCCTCACTGAAAAAGACCAGCTGAGGAAATCAGATGCGCAATTCTTACGCCTGCTTTTCATTGTTGACAGAAGCATCTGTAGCTATTACAGTCTTTGTTTCTGCATGTACCAAGTAATCTTTTAATGTCTTTGACAGGAAACTAAACTTCATTTTCCACATGAATTACACAAAAAAGAAAGCAAAAAAAGCGCTCAACATTCTGAAAATAATATCGTGGAAACACTGGGGTGCCGATCGAGTCTGCCTTTTATGCATATACCGCTCGATCGTGTGCAGCATACTCGACTACGGCAGCATTATTTACGGTTCAGCCAGAAAATCTTACCTCAAACGTCTTGACCCAAACATAATCATGGATTGCGCTTGGCGACCCGAGCGTATAGAACTTCACTTGTCCACAGCTTATATGCTGAAAGCAACGAGCCTAGCCTGGAACAAAGAAGAGCACTACTTACTGTATCCTATGTATTAAGAACCAGATCGAAACCAAGCCACATATGTCACACTATTGTCTCTCACATCGGTACCAGAATACAACAACAGACCGCACACGATAAGACCACTTCTGCGCTTTAAAAAAATATGTTTACAGACTATAAAGTACTGAATCAGGCACTGAGCGTTGTCCAAATACCAGAAAGACTGGCTCCATGGTTGGACTTTTCACACTACACTGACTTTGCCTTAACTCATTTAAGGAAGAAAGAAACTCCACGGGAACAAATTATCCAGGATTTCCTAGCTGTACAAGAAAAATATAACACGCACTCTGAGTACAACACTGATGGACCGAAAACACAAGGATATACAGGAAGTGCTGTCATATTAAAACACTCAGAAACATGTATAAGACTGCCACCATTTGTATCTATCTTCACAGCAGAAGTATATGCTCTTTTGATTGCTCTCGAAGAAATTTTATCAAGAAATCACAAAAAAGCTGTCATATACACTGACTCACTTATCGCATTAAAAGCCCTACATTTGAGGTCGGAAAGCAAACCGTTTCTTGGGGACATTTTACAGAAGCTAGAAAGAGCTGAGAAAAATGGCAAGACAATCCGGTTTGTATGGGTGCTGAGCCATGTTGGTATCCCAGGAAATGAAAAGGCAGACAGGGTAGCAACCAGGGCAGGTCGTCAAAGCATAGCAGAAATAAGGGCACCATTCAGAGACTGTTTCAACAGTTGTCGGACAGCCTTTTGGGCAAAATTGCAAGAAGAGTGACAGGCTCAAGTGCATAACAAGCTTCAAATAGTTAAACCTATTCTACAAGAATAGAAGTCGTGCAATCACCAAAAGCGCTTCATCGAAGTAACACTATGCCGCCTGTGGATAGGTCACGCTTGCCTCACTCACAACTCTTTATTGCGCAAAGAAGATCAGCCAGAATTCGAACATTACAAGGAACCTCTGATTATCAATCATATTTTAATAACATGCCCAGTCTTTGAAAAAAGAAGACATGCTTGTTTTAAACAATTTTACAGAACACAAACACCTCTACACCCAATGTTGATACTATCAGAAAATGCACTCATCTCTATACAGGATGTTTTTCGGTGTCTAGAGGCCGCAGGTCTTTTAAACAAACTGTAAACAGAAATTTGTTTTTCACCCCACATTTTAACCCTATTATCAAAATCACCCAGTCTCTGGCGCATCATAGCCATTGTTGCGTTTGCGCCATAGAACCCAACGTAACTAACTTTTATAGTAGTGGTAAAAATTCTTAGACATTGGAACTTGGCTTGTGGGGGGAAGATTTCATCATACTCTATTCTAATGTTGAAGGTTGAGGAATTAGTTTTAGTTACCGTGCTAATGTCTATAGTCATGCAATCCAGTTACTTTTTAACAAGGATTATCTGAGGGGTATAAAATCGAGGCCAATGTGCAAGAAAGAAAGAGTCAGGGTCGCTGATAAATGCGTACTCTGATCTTCACACCGGTAAAGCGTAAAAGTTTAAGAAGGTTTGAATCATTAGAATGCGGAATCGACAGAGGAATGTTGGCAATCGCGCTTCTTGGTACAATACATTATTTACCACGAACCTGGGAAGTCCCAGGCATATTCGCAGGGCTTCTCGCTATAACATTACTAGCGGCTTAATTTTATAACCAGTGGCCCCCAAGAATAATACACACCCAAATTTCTATATTGGTCACACATACATTTTATATATCATTAACTTCGAGTCTCTATGCAGCCCGTATTTTCTGTTGCTTAACCTGCGTAATAAACCTAACGTCCATTGTGCCTTTGCTGTTATATATTCTATGTGTGGGCTCCAATTAAGCTTTTCATTATAAATCATTCCTAAGTACTTGACTGAATCTACTTGTGGAATAGGCTCCCGATTATATAATACAGAAATTGAAACTGTATCTGCTATAGGAAACACTAA